GAATTCAGCTGTGAATCCATCTGGTCCTGGACTTTTTTTGGTTGGTAGGCTATTAATTATTGCCTCAATTTCAGAGCCTGCTATTGGTCTATTCAGGGATTCCACTTCTTCCTGGTTTAGTCTTGGAAGAGTGTAAGTGTCCAGGAAATTATTCATTTCTTCTAGATTTTCCAGTTTTTTTGCGTAGAGGTGTTTATAGTATTCTCTGATGGTAGTTTGTATTTCTGTGGGGTCGGTGGTGATATCCCCTTTATCATTTTTTATTGCGTCGATTTGATTCTTCTCTCTTTTCTTCTTTATTAGTCTGGCTAGTGGTCTGTCAATTTTGTTGATCTTTTCAAAAAACCAACTCCTGGATTCATTGATTTTTTGGAGGGTTTTTTGTGTCTCTATCTCCTTCAGTTCTGCTCTGATCTTAGTTATGTCTTGCCTTCTGCTAGCTTTCGAATGTGTTTGCTCTTGCTTCTCTAGTTCTTTTAATTGCGATGTTAGAGTGTCAACTTTAGATCTTTCCTGCTTTCTCTTGTGGGCATTTAGTGCTATAAATTTCCCTCTACACACTGCTTTAAATGTGTCCCAGAGATTCTGGTATGTTGTGTCTTTGTTCTCATTGGTTTCAAAGAACATCTTTATTTCTGCCTTCATTTTGTTATGTACCCAGTAGTCATTCAGGAGCAGGTTGTTCAGTTTCCATGTAGTTGAGCGGTTTTGATTGAGTTTCTTAGTCCTGAGTTCTAGTTTGATTGCACTGTGGTCTGAGAGACAGTTTGTTATAATTTCTGTTCTTGTACATTTGCTGAGGAGTGCTTTACTTCCAATTACGTGGTCCATTTTGGAGTAATTACGATGTGGTGCTGAGAAGAATGTATATTCTGTTGATTTGGGGTGGAGAGTTCTATAGATGTCTATTAGGTCTGCTTGCTGCAGAGATGAGTTCAATTCCTGGATATCCTTGTTAACTTTCTGTCTCGTTGATCTGTCTAATGTTGACAGTGGAGTGTTGAAGTCTCCATTATTATTGTATGGGAGTCTAAGTCTCTTTGTAAGTCTCTAAGGACTTGCTTTATGAATCTGGGTGCTCCTGTATTGGGTGCATATATATTTAGGATAGTTAGCTCTTCCTGTTGAATTGATCCCTTTACCATTATGTAATGGCCTTCTTTGTCTCTTTTGATCTTTGATGGTTTAAAGTCTGTTTTATCAGAGACTAGTATTGCAACCCCCGCTTTTTTTTGTTCTCCATTTGCTTGGTAAATCTTCCTCCATCCCTTTATTTTGAGCCTATGTATGTCTCTGCGTGTGAGATGGGTCTCCTGAATACAGCAGACTGATGGGTCTTGACTCTTTATCCAGTTTGCCAGTCTGTGTCTTTTAATTGGAGCATTTAGTCCATTTACATTTAAGGTTAAGATTGTTATGTGTGAACTTGATCCTGCCATTATGATATTAACTGGTTATTTTGCTCGTTAGTTGATGCAGTTTCTTCCTAGCCTCGATGGTCTTTACATTTTGGCATGTTTTGCAATGGCTGGTACCGGTTGTTCCTTTCCCTGTTGAGTGCTTCCTTCAGGGCCTCTTGTAAGGCAGGCCTAGTGGTGACAAAATCTCTAAGCATTTGCTTATCTGTAAAGGATTTTATTTCTCCTTCACTTATGAAACTTAGTTTGGCTGGATATGAAATTCTGGGTTTAAAATTCTTTTCTTTAAGAATGTTGAATATTGGCCCCCACTCTCTTCTGGCTTGTAGAGTTTCTGCCGAGAGATCTGCTGTTAGTCTGATGGGCTTCCCTTTGTGGGTAACCCGACCTTTCTTCTGGCTGCCCTTAAGATTTTTTCCTTCATTTCAACTTTGGTGAATCTGGCAATTATGTGTCTTGGAGTTGCTCTTCTCGAGGAGTATCTTTGTGGCGTTCTCTGTATTTCCTGGATTTGAATGTTGGCCTGTCCCTACTAGGTTGGGGAAGTTCTCCTGGATGATATCCTGAAGAGTGTTTTCCAACTTGGTTCCATTTTCCCCCTCACTTTCAGGCACCCCATCAGACATAGATTTGGTCTTTTTACATAATCCCATACTTCTTGCAGGCTTTGTTCATTTCTTTTTCTTCTTTTTTCTTTTGGTTTCTCTTCTCGCTTCATTTCATTATTTGATCCTCAATCGCTGATACTCTTTCTTCCAGTTGATCGAGTCGGTTACTGAAGCTTGTGCATTTGTCACGTATTTCTGTGTCATGGTTTTCATCTCTTTCATTTCGTTTATGACCTTCTCTGCATTAATTACTCTAGCCATCAATTCTTCCACTTTTTTTTCAAGATTTTTAGTTTCTTTGTGCTGGGTACGTAATTCCTCCTTTAGCTCTGAGAAATTTGATGGACTGAAGCCTTCTTCTCTCATCTCGTCAAAGTCATTCTCCGTCCAGCTTTGATCTGTTGCTGGCGATGAGCTGCGCTCCTTTGCCGGGGGAGATGCGCTCTTATTTTTTGAATTTCCAGCTTTTCTGCCCTGCTTTTTCCCCATCTGTGTGGTTTTATTTGCCTCTGGTCTTTGATGATGGTGACGTACTGATGGGGTTTTGGTGTTGGTGTCCTTCCTGTTTGATAGTTTTCCTTCTAACAGTCAGGACCCTCAGCTGTAGGTCTGTTGGAGATTGCTTGAGGTCCACTCCAGACCCTGTTTGCCTGGGTATCAGCACAGAGGCTGCAGAAGATAGAATATTTCTGAACAGCGAGTGTACCTGTCTGATTCTTGCTTTGGAAGCTTCCTCTCAGGGGTGTACTCCACCCTGTGAGGTGTGGGGTGTCAGACTGCCCCTAGTGGGGGATGTCTCCCAGTTAGGCTACTCAGGGGTCAGGGACCCACTTGAGCAGGGAGTCTGTCCCTTCTCAGATCTCCACCTCCGTGTTGGGAGATCCACTGCTCTCTTCAAAGCTGTCAGACAGAGTTGTTTGCGTCTGCAGAGGTTTCTGCTGCGTTTGTTTTTCTTTACTGTGCCCTGTCCCCAGAGGTGGAGTCTACAGAGACAGGCAGGTTTCCTTGAGCTGCTGTGAGCTCCACCCAGTTCGAGCTTCCCAGCAGCTTTGTTTACCTACTTAAGCCTCAGCAATGGCGGGCGCCCCTCCCCCAGCCTCGCTGCTGCCTTGCCGGTAGATCACAGACTGCTGTGCTAGCAATGAGGGAGGCTCCGTGGGTGTGGGACCCTCCCGGCCAGGTGTGGGATATGATCTCCTGGTGTGCCTGTTTGCTTAAAGTGCAGTATTGGGGTAGGAGTTACCCGATTTTCCAGGTGTTGTGTGTCTCAGTTCCCCTGGCTAGGAAAAGGGATTCCCTTCCCCCTTGCGCTTCCCAGGTGAGGCAATGCCTCGCCCTGCTTCAGCTCTCGCTGGTCGGGCTGCAGCAGCTGACCAGCACCGATCGTCCGGCACTCCCCAGTGAGATGAACCCAGTACCTCAGTTGAAAATGCAGAAATCACCGGTCTTCTGTGTCGCTCGCGCTGGGAGTTGGAGACTGGAGCTGTTCCTATTCGGCCATCTTGCTCCGCCCCCTATTATTATTTTTTAACAATGCTTTTACTCAAGCCTGGGAAAAACCTGAATTCAAATTGGTACATCTTTTGATTTTGCGGAACAGTCTTTTATGCTGGTTGGAACACTAGGTAGTGAAGTCAAAAAATAAAATTGCAGATGTGGGTTCCATTGAGAGGTGTACCAGGCAGGTGCATCTGGAATTGGTTTTCTTCCTGGGTTTTTACACAGCAGAGGATTCCTCATATCTTTGCTTTGGAAGAAGTCACAAGATTTTCCTCTTTGACTTTCTGAAAATGTCCCTGAACTGCATGGAATGCTTTCATTATTACCGAGGAGGAGAAATGGATTAGTCTTTTCTTTCCTAGTTATAGTCACAGTTCAAAGTTGGAGAAAGTTTATTTTAATTCTGCTATGAAGAGACCAGTTAGGGTCCAAGTAACTCCTGCTTCTGGGATTGATAGATGTCAGATAAGTTGGTGGGGCAGGTGGCCTACAGGATACTAAAATGATACTGAGTGTTTGGTTTGTGCCTGGAATGTTGTTAAGGACTTCATATGCATTTATCTCATTTAATCAACACAACCATTCTATAAGATAGATATATTATTATTATCTTTATTTTACACTAAAAGAAAGAGGCTTAGAGACAGTGTCATAGTCTGTTCCTGCTGATATAACAAAATATCATATACAGGGTAGTTTATAAACAACAGAGATTTATTTTTTGTAGTTCTAGAGGCTGTGAAGTCCAAGATGAAGGTGCTAACCGATTTGGTGCCTGGTGAGGGCCCATTTCCTGGTTCATGGGTGGTGCCTTCTTGCCACGTCCTCACATGGTAAAGGGGTAAGGCAGATTTCTGGGGCCTGTTTTATAAGGGCACTAATCCCATTCATGAAGTCTCTGCCTTCATGATCTAATTACTTAGGATTTCAAACATAATTTTTTGGGGGAAAACAAACATTCATACCATAGCAGATGCTAATAACTCATGGTTATGCAGCCAGTAAGGGTTAGAAGTGGAACTCCAACCTGGGTCTGTTTGAGAAAGATTTGCAAGAGATGTTTACATGAGGTGGATGGGAGAAAAGAGAGTTTCTGAGACAAAATCACTTCATGCTAATTTAAATTACTTAATATTTAAAAAGAACTAGTCTATGATAAAGGTCATTTTTGCTTTGTATTAAGACAACCCAGATCAAATCCAATCTAAAGTTATTTATTGAATAGCTCTACTCTTCCAGGTATTATCTTAAGTGCTTTTAAATACTTAATTTTATTAAATTTTCTCAATTTCATGGGATAGAAACTTAGATCCCCATTTCTCAGGAGGGGTCACTCAGGTTAAGTTTGAATTAACCTGCACTGTCTACTTAGTTTCAGTCTTCCTGAAACCATGCTGAACGTTTTTAATCTCTTCTATGAGATTAGCAGGCTGCTGTTTTGGTTATCTATTGCTATGAACAAACCACTCTAAAATTAAGTGACGTAAAATAGCAATCATTTTATTATGTTCATACCTTTGTTGGTAATGAATTCAGGCAACACATAGAAAGGATAGATTTTTTGTTGGGGAGTATTCAACTGGAGCAGTGCTAACTGTTGGTGATGTCTGGGTTGGTCACCTGGAGGTGTATATCTAGGGCTGTCTGTGGGTTTTGTTGGTTCTTCACATCACTTCTGCTGGGAATGGGATGCCCATCTTCATTCACTGTCTGGCATCTGGGCTGGTATGGCTGCCACAGTTGGAGCTGTTTAGGCATTTTCTCTCCTTCTGTGTGATCTGTGCACATAGTAAGCATGGATTTCCTCATAACATAATGATTTGAGGGCAGCTGGCTTTCCCCAGAGCTGAGTTTCTCAGCCCTGGCACTATTGACATTTTGAGCCAGACCATACTTTGTTGGGATTGAGGTGTCTTGTGTAACAGAATGTTTATCAGCATCCCTGGACTCTACCCACTAGATACCAGCAGCACCCTCTGACATCCCCAGTTATAACAACAGTAACAACAACAAAAATCTCAGACATTGCCAAATATTTCCTGGGGGGTGCGAATTCCACACCCTCTTCCCCATTAACAACCCATAGCAAGGCTTCCAAGAAGCCTACAAAACTTCTTACGACCCAGACTAGGAAATTCTAGAACTTTATTTCTACCACTTTGTATTAGTCAAGAAAGCCTCAAAGCCTAGCCTGATTTCAAGGACAGGATAATTAGACTCCATTTCTCAATGACAGAGATAGCGAATAATTTGCAGCCACCTTTTAAAATACATCATGATAAAATACATATAACAAAATAAAAATATACATATATAAAATACACATAAAATTTACTGTTAGCCACTTTTTAAGTTAAGTGGCATCAAGTACATTCACATTGTTGCACGACCATCACTACCATCTATCTTCAGAACATTTTTCGTCTTCCCAAACTGAAATTTCCTACTCATTAAACAATAACTCCTTCTCTCTCCTTCCACCCACCTAGCAGCCACAGCTCTGCTTTCTGTCTTTATAAGTTTGACTACTCTAGATGCGTTATAGTGGAATCATAATGAGGCAGGAGAATAAGGTCTGGAAGCAGGCAACCTAAGGCTGATTCATGCTGACTAGATATCAGAGGATACTCCCTTCTCAACTCCTTTTTCTGCATGGCAGTTGCTGTGTGAAAGTGGCAACCTCTCCATTTTCTGTGTGGCAGTTGAAAGATGAAAATACCTCTGATTGGTTCTCTCTCACAACCAATCAGACTGGTTACAGGCCTATTCTTCATTCTGATTGGTCCCCTCTCACAACCAATCGGACTGGTTACAGGCCTACTCTTCATTCTGATTGATCCCCTCTCACAACCAATTGAACTGGTCAGGGGTCAGTGAGAAACCTCTAGAGGAGCATTTAAACTACAGAAAATTCTGTAACCAGCACTCTTGCTTGAGCCCGCTCCCACCCTGTGGAGTATACTTTTGCTTATCTGCTTTCTCTGCCTTGCTTTGTTTGCGTGTTTTGTCCAGTTCTTTGTTCAAAATGCCAAGAACCTGGACATCTACCCGCCACTGGTAACAATGAGAGTATTTGTCCTTTAGTGTCTGGTTTATTTCACTTAGCATAATGATTTCAAGGCTCCTCCATGTTGTAGGATGTCAGAATTTCCTTCCTTTTTAAAAACTGGATAATATTGCAAACATCTTTAATGGACCATAGCTACTCAAATTCAAATTTTCATCGGTCTACAATAAAATGGAAGACAATTCTAGTTTAACTTGGGATTTTCTCTTGGAAATGTTTGCTCAGGTCTAAAATTTGATTTGTGCTAAGTCAATAATGAGCAGACAGCTCAGTCTGACCTAATAAAATGATACCTGGGATTCTGTTTTGTATTACTGTGTGATGCAGATGTAAAATAAAATTGGACAGCTCTAAAACCAAGTGCTTTCACTGTTCTGGAGAAAAATGTGCTACATGCATTTAAAATATTCTTACTAGTGTGTGTGTAACCAGGTGACAGGCAGTGGTGGGGAGGTGGGACAAGGGAAAAAAGAGAGGCAAAGTGACTGGCTCAAGGTCCGGAGTGAGCTAAAGGCTCTAAGGTCATACAATGTCAGAGCTTGACGTGTGAGCTTGGAGTTATCTAGTCCCAATGATTCATTTCACTGACAATAATAACAATGACATTACATTTAATAACTATTCAGAATTTTCTAATAGCTTTCATGCCTACTCCATTACTGGATGTTGATACAAACAGCACCCTATGTTAGGATGTGCTATGCTATCTATAGTTTGAGGAAACTAAATCACATACTCCAGTCAACTGGAGTCCAGCTGCTAAGCTCCAGCCTTTCTGCCTCACTGAGCCACACTTAAATTTGAATGACCGTTGTTAAAATCATGGTCTCAGTCCCTAGGCCTCTGTTGTGTACTTCTCTCCAGGCGTTTTTTTGTTCGTTTGTTTTTTGTTTTTTGAGACGGAGTCTCGCTTTGTCGCCCAGGCTAGAGTGATGTGGCGCGATCTCGGCTCACTGCAACCTCCACCTCCCAGGTTCAAGCAATTCTCCTGCCCCAACCTCCCGAGTAGCTGGGATTACAGGCATGTGCCACCACGCTTGGCTAATGATTTTGAATTTTTAGTAGAGATGGGGTTTCACTATATTGACCAGGCTGGTCTCAAACTCCTAACCTTATGATCTACCGGCCTTGGACTCCCAAAGTATTGGGATTACAGGCATCAGCCACTGGGCTTGGCCCCCAGGCCTCTTTTGGAAAGCAAATGCCTGTTATGTCAGGCACTATAACATTGAACAATGTTGTAGAAGGGAATGTAAAAACACCCTTATTTATATAATCCTATGTATCACACACTATTCTAGGCATTGTACATATAAAACCTTTTTAAATTTTCTAAATAATCCCACGAAGGTAACATTCATATTTTACAGTTAGCAATGCTGAGACTTACATAGATCAAGTGATTTGCCCATCTTGGTCAGGGTAACAAAGATCTTGGAGAGACTGGGGCCCTAAACATGTCAGCATTATGAGAAATGTAAGTGTTAAATTGTGAACTAACCCTAGAGGTGTTCTATTCCTTCCCACTTATGATACCTATTTTCTTCTGCGTCTTTGAAGGTCATGTCTCTGTACAACTTTGACTTTTCTCCCCATGCTGCCTAATTACATTTGGGATCTTGGGAAAAGCTTTTTCTAATATTTACCAAGCCCTTCAAAGTCGCTAGGCAATCACAGCAGGTCTCTTTACAGAGGGTGAACCTGCTGACAACTTGAGGAAGCCTGATGCAATATCTTCAGAGCACTTGTTTCTGTGAAATTCTTGTTTCTCAGTGTTGATCTTTATGGGTTGGAAATGAGTAGAGATTATACGTGAGGCTGCTGTAGGTTCAGAATGTGCAGTACCCGAGCCATAGGTTAAAAGAATGGTTATTATTTCTGGGCATGTGACAAGGCTGAAGTCTACACATCATGATAGACTGTCACTGCAGGTTCAAGTCAAGATGCTTTTGTGAGGAAAGGGGAGAGGGCTTAGGAGAAGAGTTTGAGTCATAAGGAATACAAGTTTGGTGTTTTGCTACATCAACTGCTAAGTAACACACAGTCCCTAGATTCCCAAAGTCTTTAAGTCTTTATTTGAAAACGACAATGTCAATTTAATAATATGGATCATGGAGACTGGATTTCGGGTGCCTCTGAGAGAATACAAGAATGTTCTACTACTTATGCTGTCACAAATTGTGATTCAATAGATCCCCAACATCCAATAGATGTTCAAGAAATTTTGGTTAAATGAATGCAAGAGGCTGCGATTGTTTCCAAGAGCTGAAATTGTACATTGTAGGTGTTGATAGTGGAGAAGATGGTATATTCTCAATTACAACCCTCATTATTACAGGGACTTAACATAGTCCAGTCTCAGAAAGGGCTCATGTTAAAGGATACACCATCCAAATAGCTAAAAAATCCTCACAGAAAAAGTAATTTATATTCATGTTTTACTCGACCGCCTCAGGGAATGTCAGAGAGGAGGGCCATCCCATCTACGGAAACACTATGTAATATTCCCCAATCTGTCAAGCCTTTTCCTAAGTGCTTCAGCTCATAACCCTTTTTTCCTCCTCTGAATTCCTTAAGTGCTTGTACTTTGACTTATAATGCATATTAAATGCAGGCTTGTTGTTCTGTTGCTTGACAAGTCATGTTGTCTCCTGTTAATTCATTCATTGTTTTTAAAATTTTTATTATTATTATACTTCAAGTTCGAGGGTACATGTGCACAACGTGCAGGTTTGTTACATATGTATAGATGTGCCATGCTGGTGTGCTGCACCCATTAACTCGTCATTTACATTAGTTAATCTCCTAATGCTATCCCTCCCCCCTTCCCCTTCCCCACAATAGGTCCTGGTGTGTGATGTTCCCCTTCCTGTGTCCAAGTGATCTCATTGTTCAATTCCCACCTATGAGTGAGAACATGCAGTGTTTGGTTTTCTGTTCTTGTGATAGTTTGCTGAGAATGATGGTTTCCAGCTGCATCCATGTCCCTACAAAGGACACGAACTCATCCTTTTTTATGGCTGCATAGTATTCCATGGTGTATATGTGCCACATTTTCTTAATCCAGTCTGTCACTGATGGACATTTGGGTTGATTCCAAGTCTTTGCTATTGTGAATAGCGCTGAAATAAACATATGTGTGCATGTGTCTTTATAGCAGCATGATTTGTAATCCTTTGTGTATATCCCCAGTAATGGAATGGCTGGGTCAAATGGTATTTCTAGTTCTAGATCCTTGAGGAATCGCCACACTGTTTTCCACAATGGTTGAACTAGTTAAGCCCCTGCTGCATGCCAGGTACTGTTCTAGTTGCTGGGCATACAGCAATGAATGAAAGAGAAAAGAAAACCCTGTCATAGTAAAGCATAAATTCTGATGTGGAATAACAGATGATAAACAATCAATATATTATATAATATATTAGATGACCACAAGTATAGTGGAAAATTAAGCAGGAAAAGCAGAGAGAGTGCCAAATGGGAGGGAGTGTAGGAAGGTGGTCAGGGAAGACCTCATTAAGAGCAAACACTTGAAGGAATGGAGGGAAGAACACATGTGAATATCTGGGGCAAGAACATTCCAAGCAGAAGAAAGAGCAAGTGCAAACGCACTAAGGCAGCAATCAGCTACGTAAAGGAACAGCAAGAAGGCCCTTCTCTCTTTCAAACCCTGCAGGGCTGGAATCATGTGTTATATATTCTGTGTCCCTCCTGTATCATCTAACTCAGGACCGGGCACTTTGTAGACATGAGTAGCATCACAGAACAATAAACCTTAGAAGAAGCTTTGAATGCCCTCATTTTGCAAATGAAAAACCCGAGGCCCAGAAAGTGAATCTGACTTGCCCAATTGTTGATACCTGTACTGTTTCTGCTCCCATGGCTGCCACTGTTACAACTACTATTTTTACTACACTATTACCAGTAGTCAGATCCCAGGGCTCTACATCATTCCTCTCTCATGCACTGCCACACTCAAAGAAACACATTCCAACAAGGAAAAGTATTTACAAAGCACTTGCAGACTTTACCCAGTTCTCTTGAAGAATACAAAATAATCCATCTCAAAATGCAGAGCCACATGCTGCTTTCCTTTCTTGTCCCCCGTGGCCTCATTCTCCAAAGCTGTCCCATACCTCCCCCTCCTCGGACCCTTTTCTCTCTCTTCTCCAGGACAAGTGACTTTGGTCTTTTCCCCTCCTGCCTCTTCCTCTGGCTACTGTGGTTCCTTGCTTTCATTTCCCTATTCTGCACTACAGAGAATAGCCCAGAAGTGGCCAGAAAAGATAGAACAGCATAGGGGATGGGGAGAAGCCATGTGCACAATGCAAATGTTATCTTTAGCTTTCAGGAGGAGAAGAAAGGACTGGAAACCCTACCTTGTAATTAGTATTTGTCCTTGTCAAACTGGTATTTCTAGCTGGGTGCAATGGCTCATGTCTGTATTCCCAGCACTTCGGGAGGCTGAGGCAGGAGGATTGCTTGAGATCAGGAATTCAAGACCAGCCTAGGCAACATAGTGAGACTCTATGACTGCCAAAAATTAAAAAAAAAATTAGCCATGGTGGCATGTGCCTGTGGGAAGCTGAGGCGGGAGGATCACTTAGCCCAGGAGTTTGAGGTTGCA